ATATTCATATTTAATTTACTTTTTTAAACACCCTCCAAAATTAAAATGAGCATAGAACAAAAGCCTTGGAACCCAAGAGGATAAAACTGGTAGGGCCACAATTTTTTTAGGGGTGGGGGCATTGCCCCTCCTGGCCACCCTCACTCGCAGCGCCCCTGTTGATTGACAGGTTTTGTTCTCCTGAGGAATGACAGCTTGAGCRGCAGCAGCGCACATCTCTCTGCCAGAGACAAAGATATAGTTTGTGTGGTTCTTTTAGGAGAGACAAGATTTGTATCTGATTTGTGATCAAAGCGCCACAGAGATGCCCCCCCCCCCTTGACTCATGAAAAGTAAAAGTAGTTGGAAATATACATCAAAACAACAAATTACAAACTGAGCTTATCAGGAGGAACTATTTTGTGAGGCGAATTAATCTTGCCGTTATAAATCAGCCACGCCTGGTGGTTCATGAAAGCCTCGAGCTCCGAGGGACGAGGAGCTGACAGGGACAGTTCAGAGACAATTTGGGATGAGAAAAAAATCTATATTTAAACAGATTAATTGTATTTTATATAGCCTACTGCTAACAGGTCTATTCTTACAGAAAGTGCAGATGTGATAACAGCTTTATAGTAGACAGCTGCTCCCCACTCTTCCCAGTACTGCATAGCGGCGCAGAATCTTTTAGTGGTACCGGACCGTACCGGTTTACTTTCACCCCTGGTCAGCATCAACCATAAACTAAATCTGCCATAATACTTACTAAAAACTCATCATCAGTGAGTAAAACTTTATTAGTTTTACTTTTAATAATATTTCTGTATTTATAATTCAGATTTAATCAGTCATACACTCAGTTCTAATCAGTGTTTAAAAGAGGACATGTTAAAACACTGTTCAAAGTTAAACATGAAATGTAAAAGTTCATTACAACTGGCCCTTCAAGGGCCTCCATAACGCTCATGTGGCCCTCAGTGAAAATGAGTTTGACACCCCTGCGTTAGACTGATGCATTTATGGATAAAATTTTATTGGACATGGAATAACAATGGATAAATGGTAATATCTCTCTACAACCAACATAAAGATGTGATGTCCTAAATCAAAGATTACAAACTGGAATYTGGAAAATGCAGTGGAACCATGTATGTCTTTAGGAACTAATTTGTAACTTAGCGATGACATGTTGTCCTGCCTTTTAATGTATGCTGTTAAAGTATTCAGCGATATGTCACTATAAAATCAAAACATGTAACCAGCTGGTTTAAACATCTCTGAACAGACTTCTAGTCTGGGTTTTTGCTGTTGATGAATGGTAGGATTTGTGTTTTATTCAATTATATTTGCTGTCTGCTGTGTAAAATCTTTCTTCATAAAAAATAGATAAATAAAAATCAACATTATTTGCCCTTACATCCATTCTCAGCACAGCATCCTCAATGGCAGTTGATGTGGCAATCATTTCCTTATCCACCATGCTTCCCAGCTCCTCTTTCAGCACATCCTGCCCTTTTGGGCGCAAATCCTGAACAAGGAGCAAACAGTCAGAATACAGCAAGAACCAAGAAGATTCATCTGACAGGAACACTTGTCCTGTCATGAACTGCAATAACCAAAGAACCTGAAGAATTAAAATCAAGAATATCTAAAGACTGAATCCATTTACGCTCACTTCATGCAGCATTTTGACCTATTTTTTCTCTTTACTGGCATCATTTGGTCAAAATGTTCACTTGTTCAATGGTATTAAACTCAATGAGATGGTGTCACCCCTGCTAACAACCAGAATTGTTGCTTTTCTTGTAATCATGTAGTTTTATTGCTGCGATTATTATAAKTTGCCACCCACCTGTCCCATAGAGAGGATGCGCTGAACCGAGTAACGTGTCGCAGACGGGTTTGCTTTTTGTAAACTGGGCTGAAACTTTAGATCCTTCAAGAACTGAAGACAGTGATTCGCAAATTCTTGACAGTTGTCAGTTAAACCTGGCGAGGTAAATGAATACAAGTGAGTGTCCGATGTATTTAGAGTGTTCCACAGCTGCAGAATGAGTGTGCATCTCTTACTATCAGCCTGATCGGTCGGAGCAGAGTGTGAAGTTGCTGCACCGTTGACAATTGTGTCAGCGGCAAGGTGAGAAAACTGCGTGACGGCTCTCAACAAGCCACTGGCATCTGTAAAATGTATAAAAATATAGACTGATCAAAATACAAGGTAAACCCACAAACACACTGCACTGTTCATCCAACTTACCATTTTTGTTTCCGAGATAGGCCAGATGGCTCTGCTGCATTTTATCAATAGAAGCTAAAGTGATTTCAGCTCTGTTCACCAAATAATCTGAAAAACAGAAGAATTGTTGAAGAAATAATATAAAATTTTAAATGCAATGGAAATACGTGAAGTAAAAAAAAGAGGTTGTGCTCATTTAAATAGTTTTACTTTTTTAAATTTTATTTTACTTTATCTCTTACTGTTGCTGCAGGACTGCCCTACAGGCATGGATCAGACGTCAACACTCAATCCGATGGAAGGAGCTGATGGATTATAGACAGGCACGGGAACTGATAAACGGCCCAAATCATGGATTTGGAAAATCCCTTCTTGCCTTGACAAGGAARACTTTAAGTACACTGGTTGGAGTCCTAACTGGGCACAATCTGCCCAACCACCATAAAATGGTGATGGGACTCCAAGACAATGGTCTGTGTGATGCCTGCGGCATTGAATCAGAGACCTCTTTGCACTACTTAGGACAATGCTTGGCTCTGAGTGGTCTAAGGG